TAATCATATACTTTTTATTTAAACAAATTCGATATAGTCACTCTCTATTTCCATCTTTATATTTTTTTAATTGAAAAAAATATTATACTTTTGTGTGTTTGTTTACATTTTCATAAAAAAGTCATTTATTATTAATTTTTAGTAAAAATGAGTAGAAATATTAAAAGAAGAGAGAGATAGCTCCATAAATAGATCAATAATGAATTTTTTGTTTGCAAAAAAAGTTATCCACTTTGACAACTTGTAAATTCTCCAAGTGCTTATGTGGCAAGAAGTTACTTTTGAATTGTCATAATATATAGTATAGATAGATAGATAGATATAGATATAGATAGATAGATAGATAGATAGATATAGATATAGATAGATAGATAGATAGATAGATATAGATATAGATAGATAGATAGATTTGAGAATGTTCTTCATGTCCGTAGGATTGAAATGGGACCGGTTACTATGACAACACCCCTTGTGTTGTTATTGTAACAACACTAGTCTCCAACCAATAGGAAGCTAGGATTGTGATGACTTTTTATTAGATGAGTTGACCTAGTGTAAAATCAAATCAGGGGTATAATTGTCATTATGAAAAATCTGTTTTAAAAATAAAAAAAATAAAAAAATATATTTTTTATTTTCTGCCCAAAAATTTGGTCGCCGGAATTCTGGCACCGGTCGCCGGAAAATGGTCGCCGGTCACCGGAATATGCTTTTTGTCGCCGGAATATGCTATTTTGTCATCGGAATATGCTTAACGGCGTCGGAATCTAGTCATCGGGGCCGGAATATGCCTATCGGCGTCGGAATCTGCTCACTGACGGTCACCGGAGTTCGGTCAACGAACTTCGTTGACCGGTCAACGGTCTTCGTTGACCGGTCAACGGTCAACGATCACCGGATATAATGGTCTGCATTGTTAGATTTATGGTTTGGTTTCTCATATTTTTTTATGCCTTTTATGGTTTGCTTTATTGTGTTTGTGGTTTGCATTGAGAAGTTTCTGGTTTGCTTTCAAAAACTTTGTGGTTTGCATTGTGAGGTTTCTGGTTTGTTTTAATATATTTGTGGTTTGCATTAGGACGTTTATGGTTTGCTTTTTGTGGTTTGATTTACTGTGTTTGTGGTTTGCATTAGGAGGTTTCTGGTGTGCTTTCGCAAATGTTGTGGTTTGCTTTGTGGGGTTTGTGGTCTGTTTTAGGAGATTTGTGGTATGTATTAGGAGGTTTCTGGTTTGCATTACGAAGTTTCTGGTGTGCTTTCAAAATATTTGTGGTTTGGTTTGTGAGGTTTGTGGTTTGTTTTAAGGGATTTGTAGTATGCATTGGGAGGTTTCTGATATGCTTTTTGTGGTTTGTTTTACCGTATTTGTGGTTTGCATTAAGAGGTTGTTGGTGTGTTTTAGAAATATTTGTTGTTTACTATGTGTATTTATGGTTTAAGTCAAGAGATTTGTGGTAATTATTAGGAAAATTACAAAATTACTTGGACTCACTAATTGCAATTACAAGTGAATTAAAATTAGTGTATATACTTGAGTTAATATTGTTGAAATTATTAAGATGCAATAAGAACCACATTTATTGCCTTTTTAATTTCACTGCCTCGTCAATTTCATTGATTCTGGGTTGTTAGATTGTGGGGGCAATAATTTCAATTCTTTCTTGGAGGAAGAGAAGAAGAAGACGATGGCAGGGGGAAGAGGGGGATCATCGTCTTCCTTTTTCCGGGCTCCATCTCCCCCCGATTGAGGCCACTTTCGCCGCCTTGCAGATGCGGGGCGCTCGACTTCATATATGACCTCTGCGTCGACGTATGGAAGGACAAGGCGTGGTCGGAGGCGGTGGTCGCCGATCGGCTCGACGCCTTAGATGAACACGAAGGGGACGATCCGGATTTGGCACCGGAAGATGCCGCGAGAGCAAGGACGCCTTTGCTCCAGGACCGACGAATCTTCTATGAGACGGTGTTCTTGCAGTTCCCGCAACTTCTGTCGCCGTCGTAGTCAGCTTGATCCTGTGTCAACGTCCAACAGCGAGCCTTCGAAGACCTAGTTCCTGAAGACCCGTCCGCCGCGGCCGATCCCGCAGCCAGTGACGCGGAAACAACGGGGAATCGGAAAACAACCTCCACCACCGCCGTTTTCCTGTTTGGATTGTCGTCGATGCCGGAGCTAGGAGAAAGAAGAAATCATGGGATGGATAAGACGATGAGACGAAGAAGACCGACTGAGATCTGGATGGAGGAACGGAGAAAAATTGATTTTTCATTTTAATTAATTTTTATTGTGTTTTTGTTGTATTACCTTTTTGTCCTTGTTGTTATAGTAATAACAAATATGTTGTTGTTATTCTATCCGGACCCGATTGAAATAGGCTTGAAGTAGGTCAGTTTTCCAAGTACGGGTGTCATGATCTATTAGTTATGAGACGGAGGTGTTGCCATTAATAGACTTGACCGACAATGTAATCTTCTTTTGTGTATCATCATATAACCAGCTATCAATCCATATGTCTACTTTTCTTACATCTCCAATTTTCCATCTTCGCCCTTTCTTAACCAGATCCTTTGCCCTCATAAGACATCACCATGTATAACTTGGATTATATCCCTCGTCTGCTTCTAGAATGTCCCTGTTAGGAAAATATCTAGCCTTCAAAACCCTGGTCACCAGTGAGACGGATTTGATTTGGGACGCAAATGATGCATAAAATCAAAATTACAAACTATCATAACATTGGTGTTTCTTCTAGCTCACTCCATTATTCATTGCATTGTAGAGTCCATAATCACAATACATCGTTATTTGCATAAAGTTCTACGGATTCGTTGGAGACAGAGAACCAATGTTTTTGTGTGTCACATTAGAAGTGACATTATTATCCTTAATATTTTCAAGACAAATACACTAATGGTCTATACAAGTACAAATTTGGCACCCCTGGTCGGAACATCATTGCATGCAATTTGGTACAATAGTGCATCTCTATCCGTTCGCAATTCTTATCTCTGAACCTTCAATAAAGCCAAACGTGTTAGCTTATTATTGTCAAATATATAAGAAATTCAGTGTATAACTCTAAAATTAAGAGGGTAAAACTAACAGATGCATACCAGTTATAAAAAACAAGAGAGTAACAAAGAAAGTCAATTTCATTGCAGTCTGCTCCATTTTCGGCTACGATTGTATTCTATCCCCATTTCTTACACCTCTTGCAAGTTTTGTGTCAAACTATAGTTTGAGTGTTTGATTAATTATTCTGAATGTCGCCAGTGTAATTTATAAATGTTAAAGACCAGAGGAGACCAAAATCACCATTATTTTTTTTCACATGGATATTCTTTAAATAAAAGATATTATTTTCTTTTTTATTATGGTAATAAATATCTAATGATAATAACTTATATTATTCACGAACAAGGGATTGGTCTAGTGGTAATACCACTAGCCATGAACCTGGAGGTCTCAGGTTCAAGTCCATTAAGTAGTACCTAATAATAAAAAATTAACCTACATCACCCTTATCTAAAAAAAAAAAACTTATATTATTCCCTTTGGTATTTTCCATTAGTAGAAAAAATGACATCAACATTATTAAAAAATGACTTTAATAGTGTTCCTTTTATCTAGACCCTGAATCCTAGAAAATATCTCCTTTTGCATGCTTGTAGTTCTGTTATATCATTTATTTGAACCATGCACATGTTGTATTTGATAAAAATAGAGGGTAAAACGAGCTATTTTGAAATAACATTGGGGGTAGGAGTTATTTGAAATAACTCAAAAAATAACTCGGTTTGAGTTATTTCAAATAATTCATTTTCATTTATTTGTAAATAACTCGCTACCCAAATAACTCATTTCAGTGAAATGTTGTCAAACAAGTTATTTGTGTTCAAATAACTCAATCAAATACTCCATTCAAATCACCCATACACTTTAGCATGCATGTATCCTAATCCTATATATAAATATATATGCAATATCCAACAATACATAGTTCCATAATACAAATTTAAAATATTTGTCGAGTTTGGATGCATAATATGATAGGAAAATATAAAGATTAAGGTTACAGTTGAATTAATATGGATTAAATCGGGTTTTTTTCATAATTATTGTGATTAAAAAAAAATTATCCGAAATGTAGTAGTTGAAAAAATAATTCCTAATTTATTGTCTCTAAACTGGAATTGGGGCGTGCGCGCCCCAATTGGGTTCCCCAAAAGAGAAAAAGCCTAATATGGGCGTCCGCGCCCCAATTTAATACGACAACTGCCAAAAGTCGAATTGGGGCGCGCGCCCTAATTAGTCTTTTTTTTTTTTTGCCCAGATACATATATACAACGCATATCGTCTTCTTCCTCTATATTTCCCCAATTAGGCCGGCGGGAAATTCCCTCTAAAGCCCACTGGAAATCGCCCCATCCATTAACCTGTATGAAATCGCCTCCTCCCCTATCGATCGCCCAAACCCGTCGGAAATCGACTTCTCTCCAACTCTCCTTGTTCATTCCGCCCACCATGGAAGGCGAAGAGGTTGACGGTGGAGTAGGGCACCACGTCGACAATCCCGACCGAGGTGGCCAAAGGAGCGGCAGAGGTTTTCCCCAAATTAGACCTAGGCTTGTTTCCGTTTGTTTTTCCCGTTGGGAAATTACACGTTGGTCTATTCTGAGACGTTGGGAAAATTGTACGTTGAAAAGCAAATTGGGGCGAGAATAAGCCCAATTGAGGCGTGTGCGCCCCAATTGGGCTTATTGATGCCCCATTTATTTATTTTTGTTGTATACAGGCATGCGCGCCCGAATTAGGCTTTCTACCCAACAAAACGCGCGCCCCTATTCCGATTTAGAGACAGTAGATTGGGATATATTTTTTCAATCATTGCATTTTGGATAAAAAAAATTTAAAACACATTAATTATGGAAATACCCGGTTAAATCATCACGGTTATCTCTACAATCATGAACAGAATTAATCAACCGAAACATACAAATACCTACTTACTGAAATCATTCACATTTATCAATGCCATGTGATTTAATAATCACAATAAATTAGTACAAATTTCACGAACCCCAACGAAACAACAAATAATTTTTCATGAATTTGTGACTTTTGTTCAACGAAGAGGGTCCTAGAAAAAAAAAAGAAGAAAAAAAGAGAGGTGTGATGTCCTCTGACTATTTCTATTGTTCAATGTAACAACCCTAAATCGATCGTCACGGGAACTTAAGACTACAAAACTGAAAGTGCAGAAGACAAAGCAGGCAGGGCCGGTGTTAGAAGCCGAACACCTAATTTGCAATCTCTCTCCTGTGTCTCTATACTTGATAGTTGATAAATTCCCCATTTGATATTCTTGTGTAAACCTACTATACAAAAAAAAACTCCTTTTCAGCAGGCAAATTGAATCTGACATTTTCTTCCTTGCGGCAACCAATCCTTTACATTATACCATCATTGACGACCTTATGGATAAACCTGCATGATAAAATGTCAGACACAGCAGACTCCCAATCTTAAGTTCAAGCGAAGTTTATACAACCATCTGAATTGCTCATTTCACTTCTCCACTGAAGCAAGGCAGCGTTTGATATGTGGGAAATTAACCGAGCCTCGACGAATGTTCAGGCTGAAGAACCATTCTTTTATCAGGTGTAAGCCCAGGCGAACGAGTTTAATTCATACCTTTTTTATAGCAGTTCATCCCACATTGTTTCCTCAAAAAGCTTGCAGGTGGAAATTGAATCCTGGAATTAGCCAGAGCTGCTGCCGAATGTCAAATTTGATCCTTGTCTAGGGGGCAGTGGAGGCGGCCAGGCAGGAGCCCCTTCTTTCGCAGTTGCTTCCGTATTGGCCCCTTCTAAACTTGGTGAATATGGTTTCATCACTTTGTTCTTCAGCAATTCCTGCATAAGAAGCCCGGACCAAAAAAGTGGGGAAAACGTACACACAGTGCAAAATGCATCAAAATTCCCACATTAGTTCGAAATTCTTCAGACTCCAGTTTGCTATAGGAAGGATCTAGGATTAACAAACCCGTAGTGTATCCCGTCCATATGTGTTCATTGCTCTTTCAACTGAACAGTAAACCTCGAGAGCTTGATCAGTTTCACGACTGCATTTAATTTGACGAAATTGTTCCCTCAACTCTGTCGATCTACTTTGTAGATATATGAGCAGCTTTGAAGGCGGGGACTTTTGTTGGTCTTTCTTCCCATGATTCAGCTCCATCGTCATCAAGTCGCTCCACAGCACATCCCAAAGTACTGAACATGGATCCCCAGCCGGGTTGAACTTTCTCTGCCCGATAATGGTTGATGGTTGCTGAAAAATAGGCAAGAAAAGGCAGGCAAGGTTTCCGATTCAACAACTTTAGGCATTGAGCACAACTGAAAGAGGGCATGGAGCATCGCGTTGAGAACGTACTTGCAATAGCATCACCCTCCTATGTGTGACCATGACAATCTTTCCTTTAGGGAGAATGAAATGATCTTCATAAGCATCTGATAAAGCAAACTTCCCACGTACTTTAAATAGATCAACCTGGCCGAAAAATGAACCCGACTCTGCCAGTTGCAGTATAACCTGGACAAGGGCAAAATGCAATTCAGGGTACTAATAAAAGCTCCAACAAGATGAATTAACGAATAACCAATAACCAAATTTTCAGAACCCAAAATCACAATATCCATGAAGCCCTCTGGATCTGGATAAACTTGTTGACAAAGATAGACATGACCAGCAGAGCATTGCCCAACTGATCATGGTGAGTAATACTTTTAAGGATACTAGCAAACAAACACTATTCTATAAATAAATAAATAAAATAGAAAGAAACTGCAGAATTACCTGGCCTTGGGCTTTGTACTCATTGTATGGTCGAACCAAATTATCACCGCCAATAACACGAGGCAGTCTCCTTCGAAGAAGCTGCTCTTCTGATGTTATGGCAGATGTTATCTTCATCCTCATTGCATTGGCACCTTCTGTGGTTTTCGACAGAAGATCCAGAACCCCACTAACCGGTTGAGCAGCAGCACCAATTATTCCTTTTCCAAAACCCTGGACAAATCCCTCTACCCCGGAAGATTTTGCACCTTCTAGTGGCTTTGTCAATATACCAGTCACCCCTCTGAATATCCCCTTCGCAAAAGCTCCTCCTCCTCCCTCTCCGATGACGTCACCAAGGTCCTCCACTCCTTTGTTTTCCTTCAAGCACAAAAATTAAATTAGTAGATAGAAAAAAAAAAAACAGTGGAATGATTCAGCAATGTGTACAATAGGAATATAGTAGAATAGATGCAACAGGGGCAAAGCAGACTACGGTAACGACACTCTTTCGGAATAAATAGGCTAAAGGACCTTGACGCAGAATGCTAATCACATGGTTAACTGACACTAAATCCTGTTAAAATAACTGATCTTAAGAACACTGCACAAAGGATGTTAACAAACCTGTCTTTGACGACCCTGGATGAACTGGTTATCCATTGACAGAGCAGCAACACCTTTACTCATGAGTCCAAGGGCACTGCTTGCGTTACCCAGTATATCAACACCAGAGAGAAGTTGCAAAGGCTGCCCAAGAATATCCTTCTTAACGTTTGTAATGGCAATGCTAATCATTGTACTCTGCCTCATGCACACGTTCTCATGGAATCTTTGATTCACTCTTATCTGTTTTAGACCATACAAAAACAATCATTGCTGCCATTTCCAAATAATCTTCAAATAGCAGTTGCAAGAATCCAGGTGGTCTCGGAACAGAAATTTAGGTCTCTACGCCCGAAACAAATCTTTTAGAAGATAATATTTTCCCACTAAGAGCAAACCAGGAGTGAGCACTAGCATGAGAGTAGTTCAGTTCTGCCTTTGCAATTTTAGACAGACATAGAATAGAACATTCTATCAATGGAAGAAATGGACTCCATCTTTGATGTGCAATGAGAAAGAAGCCCAAATTACTCAAATAAAATAAACTCAGAACTTAACGACAAATACAGGAAGACTTCAATAGCTTACAGGCATATTTTCAGTGTTGCCCAAAGAAGTCATCAAAGATGACCAGAATCCAAGCACTCCTCTTGGTCGCTGACTCGGTGACATGGCCATTGATACTTTAAACCGAATTTCAGAAATGTCGAGAACGCTGTATTTTACATAGTTTAATGATATCAGAGGTAAGAAAAAACTATAACAGAAGTAAAAATTGAAATTCCAACAGATTAAAAAAGTTTTGGACAAGGCCAACGCATACCCAATTTCAATGATCGGATCGACAGAAACAGTAGTTGTTTGTGTCTCATATAATCTACTGAAGTTGACTTGTTGCATCATCTCATGGAGGCGCCAAATGATAGGTTCGTGAATGTTTATAAAAAAGGCAGCAATATCAGGTCCCTATCAAGTAAATAAAAAAATATGTAACAATTAACCCACAAAACCAAACGCTAAATAGTAAGTCGAATGATTGTATATATAAAAGCTCACTCTGAATCCAATGTACGGATAGACACAAAGATCAAGCGAGCCATTCGATTGCATTGTCATGGAAAACTTCAAGATATAATCTGCCTCATCTCCACCTTTCTGTGGCCTAAAAAGAACGGGCATGGGAGTTAATGGCAGCTGGTTGTCCACTTGTATTCCGTGTATTCTTAGCTTGAACCTGAAAGTGAAAGTACAAGAGGGTTACCACCAGCAAACACCAACATATTTCCAGGGGAAAATGTCAACGTTAAAGATGTCGTCTCACCTACTGAACCCAGACCCCAAACCGGTAGAATATGCCAATAGCAGATTTTTCACTGACATGTATAAAATCTCCTCAGGTGTATGGTCAACGATGGAGATTCCAAGCTCCGCAAGCTCCAAGATAAAATGGAATTCAGAGTCCGAGTTAGATGGAAACTGCTGTCGTTGATAGTCATTCCCAGGTAGCTGTGACAATGACGAAGGTCCTCTTACCCCTACAGCACCTGTAGGTTCACTTTCTGGCATCCAATCGCTAATCTTCACAACATTAACCTTGTCTTCCTTGCGTACTGTAACACGCAAGGCTCTAGAAGGTCCATCCTCTTCCTCGATGGGCTGGTGATCAGAAATCTCATCAATGTCAAACATCAATGATTTCGATGAGTTAGAACCATCTATGAAGAGTTCCAAAAACCTTTTTCTACCAAGATCTTCCCAAAAGAAGGAACTGGATGTATTGGGAAGGATAAGTTTCCATGAATCACCAACACCATCCACTTGCCTAAACCGAATGGGTAAGAACATGGAACGATTTTCAACCCTGTTGCATTAAGGATAAGAATAAGAAAAAGGAAACGTTAAACCAGGGAACGACACATGAGGAGAAACTTATCCCTGTGTAGTGGCTATCATGCAAGAAGACATTTCATTTAAAGAGTAATCTTCTTAAAGAAAATGAATCATGAGTCCAAGGTAATTAAATAACAATAACTGCTTTGAGAACCAACGAGATCTATTTTTCATGAAAAAGGAAGGGTTTAAAAAGGAAGTTAATGTCTGCTGACCTGACCTGTAAGGGCTGGATGAAGAGTTTGGACGGAATATAACTTCATATCGCGAGGTTTTTGTACCATTTCGTACTTGTATCTTTAGCTGCAGTTGATTATCTCCCACATCACTTTTTAAGGAGATACGTATTGTGCCTTCATTGTAAACGCTAAACGGCATGCTCCACTGGTATCCTTCAACCCGCAGCTTCAGTCAGAAGAAACCAAGTGAAAACATGTACACATAGTTGGAAAATTGTAACTTCTTGACGACCACCAACCTTCAACATCTCAACTCTGGCAAAAGACTGCCATCTAAAAGGCTTTGGAGGATCCGTTGGATGAACCCATTCCACCAAGTGAGAATCACACTGCTGAAGACCGAGACTGGAACCAACCCTGTTCACAAACAAGGTGTGTGGCTGAAAGTGAACAACCTGCATGTCGTATAATCAACAGTTGTCAGGTACATTGTGAAACTTTTCAACTTTGAAACACAAATCACACTTTTAGTTACATAACTACTCATCCCATGCATTCTACTAATGCACATTTTTGTCGATAACATGGAGACCACGGCGCACACGTCCGAGGATACCCCAGCCTCCATGAATAGCCAGCAAAACGGGATTTATTTCTCATAATCGTTGGCCGCAGGAATTGAACACGAGAGCGCATCTAGCCCATCCTCATACCTTACCATTTGAGCTACCCCTTTGTGGTTACCTACTAAGGCACGATGAAGGTATCCAAAAGACTAGTGTTTCACTGAAGGAAGTTTGTTGTTAGAAACATGAATTTCTCTTTATTTACTATTTGGATAATTTTGTCAGTTTTATCATGATTTTGGAATTGTAGATACATTTTGGTATATGTAGGGGTTTGGGTGTTATTTGAGTATTTCAGTAATGAGGTTAAATTATGGATAGTTAGAGGGAATTAGTCGGTCTTTTTGTAATTGTTAAGATTTTCTCATTAAGCAAATACAAAACATAATTCCCTAATACTAATCTTCCTCTCTCTAGGCGAAACTCTCTTGCTCTCTCTTCCCTCCCTCTGCGTAGGCCCCTAAACCCGATCCCTCTCTCTTTAATTCTCCTTCCTTTTCCTTCTCAAATTTGTCTTCTTTCCTCAATTCCAATCCTTAAATCCATCCCCAGTCTTAGAACCCTAGACGGAGACGCCTAATGCATAGTTCTTACATTTGTTTAGACTGATAACTTGTATCCGACTAATACACTCCTCCAACGATGGGGTTGCCGCCACGGTCAGGGGGCTATCCTCTAAACTAATGATTATTTTAAACAACAAAAATGGAGTGTGCCTATCAAGTATAATATATACTAGATAACTTGAACAAACCGAAGAAATGGAAACACATGCCTGCATCATGCAACCAAAAAGCACTCTTAATAATGAAGTCAAACCTTTGTTCTCTCTGAGGTCTTCAGCAGGGCTGAGAGCTTGTAGTATGATCCATCCGAACTAAAAGCTTTCACGTCAACCCTTTCCTGGAAAGTATTTAAACACCATACATAATAAAGAAAGTCAGCAAATAATGGAGATTTTCCGTGAAGTAGACAGCTTTAGGTCCCAAATCACCTTCTTTTCCAGCTCAAGGAGTGATATCCCAGGACTGTAGGAGTCAGAATGTCGAACAGCAACAGCCAGCCCAACTCGTGCAGATAGGAATGCATCTTTCTGCGACGGGAACAGTACTGTTACCCCACTACGACCAGCAGGGTCCTGCAGTGAGAACATACTTGGTACCGGGCTTGTATCCTCAATTACCTCAACAACGTCAGCATTTCTTTTCATGCTAGAGGGTCGCCTCTCCATTGTGGTAGCTTTTGAGGTATGTTTCACGGAATTTACTCTAGAAAGTGACTGTGAATCCAAATCTGTGCTGTCTATACCCTCTGTTTCTACAACTCGATATGCTAATGGCAGAGATGAAGAATTTACAATCCAATATGGAACAAAGATCTTAATTGCTTTTGGAGCAGTGATGCTTCCTCCCATGTCTCGCTCAATGTTCACACGTAGCCTCCTATTCATTTCAAGTGTACAATTAATGAAATACAAAAGGTAGGAGGACATCATATATAATTTTGCACAAATAAGTACCTATTCTGAAAGCCAAGTTGCAAACATATCACCTGGAAGCTATCCGATAATACCTCATTCCTTTCAGATAAAATGAAGTTCGCACAAACAAGGAATTTTATAAGTTGAACAGCAATCGAGAACCTAGGTGATTCCCCATTCACATTACATAATGTTTAATACTACTTGTCAGCATCAGTATTGTAAATTATGTCAAACAATGTTCCTGTATCTGAGACAAGATGTACAGCTGAAAATTTCCAATTTCGGAGCTAACTTCAGTACATGATAAATTCATTTAACTGCTTCATACTACATACACGGATAGATTAATCTGAAATCATGTCTACCAATTTCTAAATTTTTTATAAGCAAAGCACGTGGAATCAGTTAACCCAAGCTACTTAATAATGTTGTCTCAATGGTCTTTCTTCAAAAGAAGTCGAACCACAAACCTTTTACTTTGGTGGTGGACCATCCAGAATGATGAAGAGCGATCACTTGAAGCAAGATCCAGAAGTAGGATAAGAGGCTGCAAACAGAAATAACAATCATTTTATGTTCCAGTAAATAAATGATGAGACATATTCCTGTGACTTGAAAGATTTTAAGCTGCGGAAGGAAATCCTCTTCTTCTGCATACAGTTTTCCATTTATAACGAATGTCATGCCTATTTTGACTGTCTTGTACCTTCTCCATAACCCAACCACCGTGAACAAGCAACGTAAGATAGATTGGCTTATGGATATCAGCAAAATAGATATGAACACTCTCCCATGAGGAAATTGCACCATGTTGTTGCTCTGTATAACCACCTTCTTTAGCCTTTTCCCAAATTGTGAATTCAGCTGAGCAAGATAGCTGATTTTCTAACTTCAGCGGAGAGTTGATGGATATTGTCCAGTCATAAACAGGCTTATTAAGCTCTGTGGTAAGAACCGAAGCATCAGCTCCTACACTGAGCCAAAATTGTTTGTTTTCAGTGCTAGAACAACAACATAGAACATCCTTCTTCTCAAGCTGATTTAATTTAAAAGCAACAGGCATTTTACTCCCCTGCTTCAATGTGCATTGCGTAGCAAGCACGGCTTTATCAGTCAGGGTTTGATCCTTGCAAAGTCCATCAGAAGAACCAACACTCACTTCTTGGCCCCATGAATATGCAGATTGAGAATGACCAGCAGAAGGCCGAACTTGTAAACAGTGATCAGAATCTTTCGATGTACTGTGCCATGGCAAAACAGCTGAGGATCCAGGATCTATGACGAAGTCACTATTGTCCTTATTGAATCTTGTATGTACTTCTTGACGTCTTCGAACCCATCGCCTTCTGCGGACAGCATCAAGAGAGGAGTTTGTGTGTGAAGTTGGAGGCCACTTAAAACTATGAAAGTCAGGTGCATATGCCCAGCCATCACCATCAACCACCTCAGATTTGTCAATAATCCAACTAGAAGCCCATTGCCATCCAGGTGGTAAAGGAGGTTCAAAGAAGTCCTTCAAATTAAAGGAACAGTACAGTGAGCATAATAAGTTCCAAACACCCTAGTTATGCGAAGGAAACGGTTAGATGACAATATGCTAACCTTTGAAGACGAGGAGAAGTCCCTTGTGCTCCATCGACCAGGATCAGAGCTTTGAGAACTCTGACACTGGCTTCCCCAACCATAAGTTGGATGAAAACATTGATTTTCAAAAACCTCTTCTATGAAAGCAGTAGAATTCTGGGAACCGGAAAGGGGATTATTACCATCAACCATACACATAGGGCGCACTGATATATCCAACTTAATGTCTGAATCATTAACCACTGTTACAAGGGCCCTAAAAATTGCATGCTTCTTTCCATTTTTCATGGTAACTTCCATGGCAATAAAGTCTTTCTGCAGTGACTTCGGAACTACTGACAAAGGTAGCAAGGAACGAATGCTCTCCCATGAACCACTGGAGTTAAGTCCAACCCAGAAACCTGTATCTCTATTGGTAGAATCCCCGGTTTCTTTCCCTCTCTGCGTATTAGTCAGCAAACTTTTCTCAAAATATGTAGTTGACACTGACAGGTATCCAGAATCTTGCATGTCATCATCCTTGTCATGCTGGACCAGTACATGATTTAACAAAAAGAACAGCTGTATTAGCCATGACAGACACAAGTAGCCTACGAGTGCAACCAAAATAACAGAGAGTAACGCCAACAGACGTTTTGGTAGAACAGTAGCTCACCTTCCTTCTCAGAGGACGTGAAACAATATTCTGAATGTTGTGCGGTTGATGCAGCATCCTAACTGAAGCAACCTTCTTCAACAGAGCTGCTCCATGTCCAATGGGCAGTGAAAGTGCACCAACAACTTCACCTACACCACCAATATGCGACTTTAGGCCATCAGGTGGCAAGAAATTGATGTTACAATGCACGATACAGTATTAGAAGCACCGAAAAACATCAGAGAAACATGGGTAAGCAGATATTGACATGAATTGGTCTCATTGAACTTCATGCATAAAAAGCTCAAAATTTCAAGATTTATTAGCCAGAGAAACAAACCCTTTCCAGCTTTGGCAGCAAGGTTTGTCACCTCCACTTCTAACCTAGCATGTCCCTGCCACACGCAAACTCAAAGTTATGATAAAAAATGATAACAAATAAACTTCAGCTATATGCAGTATGACAACATGAATCCAAGTGGGGCGAAACAAGCAAACTATCAGACTGACAGATCAATAACCAATATGAATACTTTTTAAGCAAAGATGTACGGCCATGTGAACAATGGAAGTACATGGAAAATCAGTAACTGGGACCCTGGATGGAAAGAGGGAAGGTACACAACAAAACCTTAGTTATGATGATAAGGAAACAGGTGACCACATCCAAATATAAAGAGGGGAAGGCATGCAACAAACCTTGGTTGTGAACTTCTGATGAAAGGAAACTTGTTGGGAAGCTACTTGAAGCTAACCATAGGCAAAATTATATTAACAAGTGTAACACAAAACATATCAACGCTACGGACTGTTATCAAACAGGTACAGCTTACAGTTCCTTTCTAATCTAATCTTTCAAAAGTTTCAGAATTCCAGAAAACTAAACCGTCAGGTTTAACTAAACTTTTCCAAAAGAAGTTTTAACTAGTGGTGGAGGTTGGCCATTTGTGGGTTTATACTCAACAATGTGGAAACTTATATATGGAGATTGAAGCGCAAGATATAAAGCCATCACCAGGACCATAGTATACCTTCCGAGGAATTTCAAATATGAACAATTCATTCCATTTAGCAGTGCCGATAGCAAGTTCGTCAAGCAAGGGTTTCACACATTTAGTCCTTGCACTCTGAGGAAAAAACTTCTGTTGATCCGTTGCCTGACTATCAACAAGAAGGCGTAGAGCACAAAACATGTTGTGGCTGTTACCGTCATCAAGAATGGGCAGATCCTGTAAAATAAGGTGCAAGAAGTCATGGCTAATTTCGCAAGATAATACTTGAGGTCATCCATGAATTGGGGCGAAACAAAACCAGCTGTGACCTTGACTTCAAAAATATGCACAGCAACATAACAACGCGCTCCCCTAGATCCATCTGCAGCCTTTAACCTATCAGAAAATCTTGATGGTGGAACCCACACAGAAAAGCTATCATTAGGGTGTAACTGGTCAACAACGTCAACATTGTCTTCAACTCTTTTCAGATACAAATCACAACCGAGTTTATTTTCAACTACAACTGTCTGGAAATCATCCTCATCCAGAGCAGACAAAGCGGCTTCTTCTCCTGGCTTATGCCGACTTCCAGAATCCTATGTAAAACGCAATGCTTCAGTTTATAAAACTCACTTTATATAATCGGTAGGAAACTTCCAACAATATAAAGTCAGCGAAAGCTATCATACCTCGTTTAGTTTAGTTGCTTTCTTGTCAATTTCCAACTGCTTTCTCCAAGAAAAAAGGGTCCCCACAAAAGTCTCCAGATTTGCTGCGCTGATATTCATATTCAGGATACTAGTAGCAGCAATTCGTACTCTCTTCGCAAATTGTGATGGCGGGTGGACATTTGTATCATAGGTTTCAAACCTTGGAAACAAGAATAAATATATCATATTATCCTGGAAAACGTTGTCAATAAAACTGAGTCAAATAGAAAAACCCACAAAGATTTACTTGAATATCCCATCAAATGGTTCCACGAGTGGCTCCCATGCTTCAAATTGAGTGTTAAAGGTTGATGCAGCAATGGATGAAATTAGTACAGCATTCATTGACTCCATACGACCGTGGGTTGCCAGCTTAATATTGGTGATTGTGAAATCAAAAAGAGGTGTCATCTGGAAAGGTTAAAATTACATTAAGAATTGTGCTAAGGACTCAACCTTATTGATAAAACCAAGATTTTCTAGTTTGTAGATTAAATACCATTCCACATAAACTGTCCAAAACAGTGACAGAGAAACATTTTATCTTCATTTCAGCCGTCACATTCTCCCTTGACTTTGGCTTTGTAGAATCACCAATTGAGAACGCCAATTTGCTTGAGGGCTTTTTAAGGTCGGAACGAGCAAGAAAAGTGCAGGCCTATATGAACAAGACATGAAAAATCATTATAATCTATTCATAAAAAGCACAACAGACATAAAACAGTTGCCACAGAATAATAAAGAGACTGATTTTAAGCATCTCAGGAATCAAATTGGTAACAACAGGATAAGAGATCATGCAGCAGCCATGACATGGTATCTCAACAATTCAATATCAAGAATCACAGATGGTTTAGCTTGACCTGATTTTCCACTCTCCAAATGGTCCAGCACTGAGAAGCCTTTGAGTTTGAAGATCTCGAAACAGGCACTTCAATAATATTTGCTTGGTTCACAAGATCCATCCTTGGACAGCAAAATGAATTTGCAGATGGAGGTTCATCAACACGCGTGACAATGCATCCAAGTGCAGCATAACCAGGAGGTGCAATTGGGTACCAGAAGAAGACTTCATCTATCCCTTTCCCCATTATATGAGAAACTTTAGTGAATTGCACAGGTTTTGAAGCAAACTCAGTACTATCAGCCTTAAAAATTATGCCCAGAGCAGGTGCTTCCAAGCTGGAAAAACGAGAGAGAAAAATGCCACCTTTGGTTAGCAAAAACTAAATCAGATAAAGTATGCAATAAACATACCACAGGTATGAAAAAGTGCATATAAAAATGTCCAACCCTTCAGCAATGCAATCCCCTAGAACAGCATAACCAGGACGAGCAATAGGTCGCCATATAGAGACTGGTCGTCGGACATCACTACCTCTGTCCCACCATATCCTCTCAAAGTTAGGTGTTGACACATAGCAATTTGTTGCTTTTGATACTGATCTGATAACATCCCACCTGGATGAATTTTCACCAACATTTTCACGTTTCTTTAATTCCACAGAGTCGTCGCCATTTGTATCCAGTCTAGTGTCTTTTGGTGAAGAATGATTTACGTGGTTCCATAGAAGAAGATGACTGAGGTCACAACTGCTATCTCTGGGAGGGTATTCACTTGAAAGATGAGCATAAAAGGAAGCAATCACATTGTCCATACGCCAAATGCTGAACCCTGACGAAGAACTAGGCTGTGGGCGAGCACAAAGTAAGCATTCTGCATATGTTGTAGATGATACAAGGTCGGAGCGCAAGCAATAAACAACGTGATTAGGTGGCGGTTGCCTTCCTACATGTGCTACACAACCCAAAGCTGCGTAGCCTGGTGGCGCAATAGGCATCCATATAGAACAATCAGAATCTAACTCCGAACCGCCTGCACATTCAAATACTTGAATTTCAGATAACAAGGCAATGAGATTAAATCCAATTGGCTTCCGCACACGTCCATATGAGTTATTCACAGCCATCACTGCAACTGAGGGGGGAATTGGCCTGACACATTAAAAATGAGCATATACATTGTCAGAGCACAGCATATGATTGGACTATAGCAACATATTCTAACAAAGATAGTAATAGTATGGCATGAGCAAAAAGCGAGAACCCATATATCAGGCAAAGAGGGAGAGAAACATAAGAGTAAACAGAGAAGAATCTTTCAATTTTGTCGAAAAAAGAAGAATCTTTCAAGAGAGTCGGAAGTAGGCGAAAGCAATTCAACCAACTTCAATCAAATTGAAGGAGAAAAAAACATCAAAGAAAGATTAACCTTACCTTGAAGTCACACAATCTCCAAGTATAACATAATTCGCTGGAGCTCGAGGCCTCCAAAAGGTTAGCTTGTTACGAGAGCCATTTTCTGCATGCATACATACCTAGCCAAACATTAGGCAAGTCTTGCAGATGGGATGTCACAATAAAAATATATAAATAATCAACCAGATAGCAAACCTTTAGGAGAGACCCAGATTCGATCAAAGTTGGTACAAGGAGCAAGAGGAATTGCATTTCCAAATTGCAAGGCTGCAGTTGCTTGACTCTGCAGGTTAAGCAAAAGGGAAATGGTACTCAAAGAAAGGTGGAAGCATACATCCGTTGATATCAAAGAGGTATCTGTTTTATCCTTAATAGAAGTATATCCTCCTGAAATATCCACTGGATCCAGAATCATCAGCCCAGATCCAGCCTCCACCGAAAGATCCTTTACTGCTGCACGAATCCACGTATCATTTTCTTTCGATGCATACCTATATACCAAAGCAGTGAATATCGCTATGTCTTATAGTTAGAGGAAACTCATCAGAGTTAACGGTAGTATTTCCAGGAAATGCAAGGAAATTGTAAATACAGGAAGCCTTACATGAAGCTCAAATCCATTTTTGCACGTAGAAGCTTTTCACCATAAGAAGAATCATCAAGTGACGATTTTGTGTTGTCGTAGAATCTAAGCTCAGGAGAGACAACCTAACCATTACCAAAAATGAACAAAAGCAGTAAGTGACACATGCAGAGGGAAAAAACTCAAATACATCCATCATACATATAGAGCAAACAACCAAGGAAGAGTAAGCATACCAGAGTTCCAGTGACAAATTTGAAAGGAGTAACATGTTTTGTTAAAGAAAGAATTATACGCCATAGTCAAAAGAATGTCAACATGAAGAAGCTGCAAGCATTCCTCGGCACTTTTTATACAGAAAGCAACATATAACCAGCAAATGGACCTCAAGAAAGGAGATTAACCTCAAACACCAATTAGATTTAGAACAACTACAGCCCGTTTGGAACCGATTATGCAAAAAAATGAAAATGGAATTCATTTACATTCTCATTTTCATATAATACCATGAAAATTAATTGTTGTGTTTCTATAATGGCCAATAAAAAATTAACAAATTAAAGTGGGACCCATCAACGCTATTTCCATTTAGCGCGCATCTGATCTGGTGTATTTGTAAATTGATCTTATTTTTCTAAATTGCAAGCTATAAGGGAGATGTATTTGCAAAAATACTGTTTGGTTCAGTGCATTTGTACTGAAATTGTGCCAGAAAAGTAAAAGGATATGTTAGACCCTCATATATTTATAGAGTGAATTTCCAAATACTTCCCACCCCCAAGTAATTGAAACAGTATCATTTTGAAACAATTAGGATAGCATGTGCAATTGTAACTGCACTCAAATACACCAAAAACATGAACGAAAAACAATGTACTTGTTCAGCTCTGAGCAATTTGGGAATTTCACCCTTCCATTAACATCCAACCAAATGAGTTCTCAACCAATTCCTACCAATTCTATAGGAACTGGAAATTTCAAGTTTTAAGTTAAATGAAATTTCATTACCATCTTTTATCTATTCCAAACAACAGAATAAGTAACAACACAACAACTTTTTGTACATTCCAAACCCGCTGCAAAAGGTACATCCAGGGTATAGTCAGGAGAAACAAAAAATTTACCTGAGCTTCAAAAGAAACGCTTGGTAGAACATCAGAGTTAATTTGGGAGTTGAAAGTGTTTGATTTGCCAGATCTTTCATGCATATAATCCAGAAGCCTCTCTTCAGGAGAAGGGTTCTCTAACAACGAAATATCCACACCGTCTTCAATGGAGATCGAGTAGCTGCTATCATTACTCAGGTGTGTGTATTTCGACAAAAGGAAACCATTCTGTTGGATGAAATAGATGCATAAGAAAGCAGGTAAAGGACCAAACCTCCATTTAAATGTAAAAGAAATAGAGATCTGATGTCCTAGTGAACGGTAAGAGAAACTACCTACATATTATCCTCTCATTTAAACTTCTGCAATAGACACACAGAGGCTGTAGGTATTGAAGACATGCATATGTCTAAGCCATCAAAGGCTAAAAAATATAGTAATCAATGAGGCTAACAACAAGAAGGCACTGTAAAGTAGCTGGGCAGGAACCCCTGCATCTTTCAACGTGGATTTTTCTAGCAGGGTTCAACATAGACATGCTGACATGCATGACAATGTAACTGAAAGAGAGAGAAAGTACCTCAATTTTTATATTAACAAAACGCAACCTTTTACCACGTCCAATAATAATGATTGGTTGAAAAGAAAAATTATCTGCTTCTTTCAGACAGCTCTGATCGCTTAATATTATAGTATTACCACAGCCATCATAAGTATATTCATCAACTCCCTTCGAATCGGCTACTAGACGTCTATTAGCAGACAAATGCACCACATCGTCACTTTGCTTGTAAACAGGGTTACGCAGCACTATGCAATTGCTTTTGTAAATGGTATCCTTCTTTGGGTCCAATGACTCTTCCCGTCCAGTTATTTGGCCAAGTGATGGCACAAAAAATTCACCCACGGCTAGAAGGAAATCAGGTACAACAAGGATACGGGGTTGTTGAATGCGGATCATGTATGACTGAGAAGAAGGTCGCCATCTATAATCCAGCAAGAACATGGTTGAATTTATTATATCCGCCTCAAGGATAGCAGCAGAATTGACCCTGCGAAAACTGCCCTTGTTTAGGGGATGTGGCAGACTTCCACTAGAAGCTTGTTTATTAGCATCAGCTGAAGATCCAAGCATCAAGCGCATTTCAGGTTTTGTCCCAGGACGAATGTCTACAATAGAAAATTTGGGGATAGTAACATATAGATCTGTTTCCGACAATGAAGTAGTCTTGTATGATACCCAAAGGCCTTCAAGCTGAAAGACCACAAAAAGAAAATATATGAAGCCACGTAATAATAAACTTTGTAAGAATTCAAATTTGCAGACTTGCAGAGAATTCATATACAGAACCTAATAACTTACGACAAGATGAGCCAAAGGTGATTCATGAACACCATTACACAGCTCCAGTAGAGCATAATTTATTTCCACAGCCATTATGCTAACGCTGTGCGCAAGTAGCATTTGACTATTCATGTTGACCTTATCCACCAACAGCTGCATTGGATCTTTTTTATCAGATTTGCTAACACGAAAGACTGGAGGAAGAGATGGTTCTTCATTCAAATTGATGGATATGCAATCCAAAATCACTTTATATTCCTTATCTGACATGACGCAGTGCAGAAACCCCACCTGGCCAATTCATGAGCAATTAAGAAATCACAAGTCTCATAATACCGAAATTCAATCAAAAGCTTGGATCCAGTTGAGTCTCCCTGAAATGACTATCTTTGTATGATCATGATTGGACAATCAGATTCATGCAAGAACAACAGTAGGTGAAAATACATACAAAAGGAGGTAGAGGAAAACCCCAATCATAACAACCACAAATCTCACCCTAACTTCAAGCGCAAAGGTTGGCACTTTTCTGAACACATCCCGCAAGCTGCGCCTGACATAAATGTCCAGCCCTTGGCCTTCCCGTACCATAGGTTTGCCTAAACAACCATCAATCCCTATAGACATGTTGATGCCCAGAATCTGCATAGACAACCTATATTAAAAAGACAAAATTCGAAGGACGAGCTCAATGACCTGAACAACTATACCTCGGCATGAAGGACGTCCATGTGAACAGCTGATGGATCTTTCTCAGGACAACCATGCCAGCTGAGTTCATTTGACACCTTCAACTGGCCCAGGTCAAGTTCAATGAAACTGCAATCATGAAAATGTCATAAATGAGTAGGATTTTGCAACTACAGCAAAATGCAAACTGACAATATTCATGAGACAAAAGTGAAGTAGGACTTGTATTTGAAATATGAGGACAATTTAAAACCTTATTCACTTAGTATAACTGAAGCTTCCAATTCAGAAACAGCATAAAAGCCAATCTTTATTTTCATTGGAAGTCTTAAGAGACAATTAGATAGTTATAACTAATTAGGATTTTCATTTTTTCCAGGAACAAGTGCTTATGGAAAATCAGTTCCAAAATATACCTTCTCTTAAAGGTAAGAAAACGTTAATCCAAAGTTCTTCAAATCATATGTTACATTGACAATTAACTGTTTATATCATTGAAATTTATTTTGTTAGTCCTAAAAAAAGGCACATACTCTTTGCTTGTTGTATTTCTGGGAACAATAATAATAGGAGTGTCAAGTGAGAGGTCTAGCTTTAATGCAGTAGCCCCATCAATCTCATATTTCTGAATTAGCCACTCAAAGCCTCCAACTTTATCCTCAAGTTTAATTGCTTCTTCTGTCCGAGGAGTGGCAAGTTGTGCGAAGTAGGCAGTTATCTGTGAAGACAAAACCATTGCAGTTCGCATATTTTCAACGCATACAAATTTGCCTGGGGAAAACATCATGCCGGACATGTAATACACAATGACGTATTTGTCAAACTGTAAAACGATTGCTGCGGCCATTGGAGTTTTTAGCGGGCTCTTACACAATACATTTCTTGAATTAGTCATAGTTCACTAACCATGGATATTGAAAAATTGCCTTATTTTACTTATTTCCATCTCACTTCCATTAACATTAATCACTAATAAAACAACATGAAACAAAAAAAAAAAAAAAAAAGATATGGCAACAAAGATACAAAACAACTACCCGAATCAGCTAATTACTAGTTGCATTCAACATACCTCACGGACAAACCTGTACAGGAAAACTATGCGCACAGCAGAAAGTCGACCACTCAAGCTATAATCATATCCTTCATAATCATCATCCTCAGCACTATAAGAGTTAAATTTGAACTGGAAAAGAAACACAAACATTAAACCAGTCAGATGTTTCTCGAATTCTGTAGCATACAGCTAACAATAAGATCAATGAAGTAGGAACCTTGATGATAGATTCAATTCCTGGATTACGGATATCACAAAGCCAACTCCAACAGTGATCCGTTCCAAGAGACATATCACAAAGCTTAAAATTTCCTAATGTGCCTTCAATAGAGAGAGAACTTGGGTGGAGCTGTAAAGTTCATATAAGGCAACTCTAAGGTAAATAAAGGATGTCAAGCTTAAAATGCCCCAGCAACAAGACACGCCTGAAATGGATGATACGGCCAAATAGATAAAATCCAGGTTGGACTCACCTTGAGATTGAATAGGAAACTCTCTTGAATTAGCATTGCAAGCTGAGAGCCGTCCTCCTTGTTGAGAATTACAGTAACATTGTCAATGTTCATGTTTAGATCAAATACAACACGACTTTTACCATAACCTAGGAGCCCTTTAACATGCCCAGTATCTTCAGTTTTTCCTTTACTCTTTGACTTGTCATCTACACTCTCCACCACATCCTCACTACTCACCACAGAACCCCCATCACTCAGATCACTGCCAAAACCAATTAAGGCAACAAGAGTTGGTCTGTTGCAGAAGAACTCTAGCTTGGACATACGGATACTCATCTGAGTTAATAAAACAGATTAGTAAAGCATTGAAAATATGGACACCAACAAAGAAAGCAAATGATAACAACTTAGCTACCTGGGTATCGATTCCGTCGTAATCAGGAGAAGCTGAACTCCTTGTGGAAAAGACAACAGAAACAAAGTCTACGTGATCATCAGCCAGTGCCTCATAAAATATTTCAGATGAGATGCACTTCCTTTGCAGCGCATTTTCTTCGGCAGAGTCAAAATCAGAAGGGCCACAGACATCAGAGACAGCTACAGGGTGAGACATATCCAATCTTGGTGAATAGATGGAATCAGATAGATTTAAAAAGTCTGGCAAAGCATCCGCGAAAGTATCATTGTCATCATATCCATCTACAGACATGTCACTCCCCTGAGGCACAGGAGTGCGAGGGGATGCAATCGGCTTATCATTCTTAACCACAGAACAAAGTAAGTACTGTGGATTTATAGATGGATAACCTTGAAGCTTGTCTGTAATTTTCAACGAGTGAAGCTTCATTTTGACCGTCAAGTCACCTAATGAATGAATCAGGTACAGCTGTAATTGCATGTGCAAAACCAGAAGATACACATGATAAGTGTCTCAATCCCAAGTTACTGCTCAGAACATGAAACAGTTCTAGGAAGCTCTCTCTATCCCATGGCAGTTAAGGGAAATGACAGAAAACTTTTAAAGCAGACATGAGCAGATGTGACTGGTACAAACTGAAATTACTTAATTGCTAGAAAGCCATACGCTTCCCTTCATACATGATAATTAATATCAAAACATTAAAAAAAAGTTCCATTCCAACCATCAAATACTCAAGATGACAGCAACAGGAACAAACTAATTTTCAGAAAGAATTGGGGAAGCCTAATGATAATACAAAGAAAAGATGAGATTACCTTTCCCCCACTTGCAAGAACCTCGGCAATCAACGTTTCTTCAGCTTTTTTGTCGACTTCATCTCCTGGCTGTAAAGATATAGACAAGAGTGAACTACATGATGCAGAATCTGCACAAGGTACAAGCTTCCAATGCAGTAAAGAAAATGTACAGGTGTATATATCAGTCATAAAAGCATTGCATAGTTTGCGAGTCAATAAAACGAACTCTTGAATGCTGACATGTATTGTGGATTTTGATATCAGTAAGCTGAGAATTAAGTGAGCTCTTCCACGGAAAATGTACAACCCATGCCCTCTTCAACGTATTTCTCATTAATAGAATGCATGGACCATGTATTCCCACTAGATAGGCATAACTTCATGCCTAAGGTAAACACAATACAACTAACCTTTCCGTATATACAGATTTTTGTCTCCAACAGTACCCCATTGACAACAAGATTGGTGGCTCGTGTATTTGGTGTATGAGGCTCACTTAATTCAGCCCCAGTATCTCCTGCTTCTCCAAGTAGACTGAGTAATGGAGGAGCCTTCAGGCAGGACAATGATAGATTTTAGATAAAAACCAATCTGCCAAAATGTCATCATTTACAACAGAGGAAAACAAAAAGAACGTAGTGGTTTCCATACAGAAGCTTGGTATATAGTTTGTGTGAGTCCTTTTAACCAAGTAGCTTTCTCATCCTCATCCGAAAATGCCAAAATCGATGTACTAGAAGATTCCAGTGCCTGGGACAAGCAGGAAATTTTAATGAGAAACCCAAAATAAGTCCATAAATTACCAGCACGGTTGAGATACAATCACCCACTGATGTACCAGTGTAAAAATAGTGAACAAGGGAAGCAGTTTTTATTTAGTGGGTGAGATACAATCACCCACTAAACAAAAACACGCAACAGTGTGGCACTTTAAAAAATTCGTCTAAATGAGAACCAGGGAAGCAGTTTTTATTCCATTCCTTTTATAAGGCCTAAAGGGAACATTAAGTACACTTCCAGTTTATGGCTATAATACTTGAAACGATAGCCATCATTGCCACTCCATCCGGCATTGAAACCCACTCCACCCCAGGACCATGTAATCTAATCCACATAGCAACGCTAAGACTAGATTCGACTGCCAAGAATGTTGTTTGCTAATAACTGATCAGGCTATCGACTTCCCAGAAGCAACATTAGTTATCAGTTACTAGCAGTAAGATTCGGCCACTAATGCAGTGATAAAAGCTATTGGGCCTTTAGACATGTTGCAGGAGATATTTGTCCCCTTGATTCCGTGAAACACATAAAATGCAGTCCAACTGTGGAAAGATGACGATACGTGAACATTTCAAAAGAAAATAATACTTCAGAGTCCGAACCAGGGAATGTATGGGGAACTGAACAAATGTTGGACTGAGTCTGTTCAAAAGGAAAAGGTCAAGATTCATTCCTTAATAATAATAAAATAGAAACCCGAGGTTCCATCAGAACTTGCGGTTTCTATGATACCCTCCCCCTTGAGACCAACATTTGCCCTTAAGGTTGACCAACTACAACTTCCGCTGTTCCCGCCAACAACTCGATAGTTTGTGTTTCCTCCGTTCCAATTGCATTTCCATAGGAGAACAATAATCCTAGCACACTTTACTCCATATGGCGCTCCATGCATGGAATCATTAAGCCAGCAATGCACCATTTTCCCACGTATTTCCATGTGAGAGTTCCCTTCATCCACCTGCCTCTTCTTGCCTTTGGACGGAGATTAACAGAAGTAACCATTTCGTATAAGTTCGAACTTTTGTTATCGTGTCGTTACAAATTGAACTTTTGTGACGATTTTGTACAAAGTTCAAAGGTTTGTGACCGTTTATGATAACTACCCAAGAAGAGAAGGATCAACTGAATATCCTTTTTATATAAATTTCTGATTAATCTAAAGAAAATTCTGAAGTACATATATATAGGAAAATACTGAAGAAACCTAATAATTAACCTGATAATACTGAAATACTAATACTAGTAAACTAAAAAATATAATAATAATAATAATAATAATAATAATAATAATAGAAACCAGCGGTTTCTATCAACTATGCTCGAGAGGCCAATCAGGAACTGCACAAGTTACCTGCTGGATGTCCATTCCCCTCAAGCTCACAGCAATGCAAAATGGTGAACCACCAACACTTGACGATGGTACCTCATTTACCTGCCTTCCAGCCATGCTACAGAAAGGAAACATTGTGAGGAGCACCTTGACGTGCAAGATACAAGGAAGAATAATATTCGAATTTGACACAAAGAAAAGCGCAGATGGTAACAGAAATGATAGAAGGTCACAACCCATGAACAAAGAGGCACACCTCAAGTATCGCTGGTGGCTTCGGGAATCAGGAGATTCCATGACATAAAGATATAATCCAGACAACACAAGAAAACATTGCTGCCACGTGGCAACAGAATTGCCGATCCCCTAATCAAGAAATTTTACAGAAGAATTATAAACCAGAAACATAGCTCCCCTAGAACATAAATATGTGCACACTTATATGTTTGTGTGTCTGAACTCATTCCACGCTTAAAGACACAAAGAAATACCTTCCAAACCAGGATTCGGGCATAGGCAGAAATGTCAGCAGAATTCCGAGCAGAAATTTGCTGAACGTTGTTGACAGTAGATTGCTCACAGCTCTCCACTGTATTAGATACTATGTTCAACAACTCCATGAGTCTATGATATCTTGCTGGAGAAAAGTGAATGCTAAGATTCGGAACTTGAACAGAGATCCGTGATGATGGGTAATGTGGATGCGCCACTTTGATCTTTAACAGAAGGATTTATGAGCATCAGTAAAACAGTGTGTGTTTCAGAACTGTGACTACCAAGAGATTCAAACTCCTATGTGATCTACTTCAAAACGAGGGATAGAAAATGAACAAACAGATAACAAAACCATGTTGCTCATTATATGAATTCACCCCTAATAGATGCTACTATATCACATAATCAAGGATGAAAATGCAAGTGACAAAGAGAGTTACATATCATACCTGATCAACAATCACAACCATCCCGCACCTATCAATCATTGAATAGAAATCACCCTCCTCAGAATCAGTGAAAAAAGCAGCAATATCTCTTCCAGATATGTGAAAGCGAGAATATAGGCTCTGCTTGTTTTCATCGGACTGGTTTTCCTGAATTATTAAACAAAAAAAAATTAAGCACCAACAATAAAAACAGCAACTAACAGATACTACAGGTTATACTGAAGCCTACCATGGTGTGCAATGTGAAATGACCAAAGTCCAGAAGAAAGTACGTATCACATGTGGAAGACCCAACTGCCTTTACAGGTACTCTAACTATCGGAGCATCCAAATCAATATCAAAGGCAAACCTAGCCAACAATGAAAAGAATACAAGTTCGTAAGACAAATAACCGATTTGCAACTAAACGGAAATATAGCACAGACGAAAACGAGAGGAAAACAATAATGGCAGGGGAGGTTCAGGTCCCAATGGAACTCTGAATCATATGGAAATCCCATTACCATTCAAGAAAGTTTCCCAATTGCTCATGTAATGAATAGCAAACAAAAAACCCAACCGCATAAGCAATAAGAAGATTATGAAAATAGAGAAAGCAATAAAGAAAGAAACAGAAAAGGAATAAACCTGCATTGTTCTTCCAGTGCAGTTTGGACTTGCTCCTGCGCCCTACGAGTTACTTTCTCAATTTTCATCTGCATTTTGCATCAGCGATCAGATTAGCTTTCAAGAGCACATTGCATCAGAATTAATATCCCATCTGTACCTGCAGAGCATTTGCCGTTTCTAGGGCTACTGTAGGGCTGACGGCATTACTCCTCTTCATAAATTCAAAAACACGATCAAGGCTTTCCATTAAAACCTGCACCAAAAGTGATTTTAGCATTTTCCAGTCGAAAATAGAAGGTCAAAAGAAGGAAATTATCAAGCATGTGGAAGCAAGCAGATAGTTGAACATACAAAAAGTAAGATATATTTTTCAAATGGCAATTGGAAGCTCAACCAGGAAATCCAATCAGTTAAGGAATCACAATTCACAAAAGAACTCTGTTTCTTTATCCTTAAGAAATGGCTATGAGAGAAAAATAAGCAAGTTACCCACCCTCATAATTGCCAGTTCTAGGTACAATTTCAACACAAAGCATACAACAATCAACGATGTGTGCCAAGGACTTTGACAATTTTCAGGTTAACAAGGGAACAACCTTCAACTGGAAGAAGCATCAACTGTTATTCAACAGCATCTCTTAGTTGATACATTTTGGCAACAAGTGCACATGTTGATCCCACTCCAGTAATCTGAAGAGCTGAGTACTTACTGTGACATGACAAGGGGATATGGTTGATGATAACCTCCAGTCAATATTCTCCCCTACTGGTGTATGTACAAAACAGGCAGATAATGCATTCTCCTTCTGCTCACTGGAAACACTCTACAGGGGAAGGAAAAAGACAGACCAAGTATTAGTAAAAACATGTCAGAAATCCATAAAATACATATACAATCTAGTACAGATACACAGAAATCAACCAAGAATAATGGAAAAACTGAAACCAAGGGGCAGTGAGTGAGGGTCATCAGAATAGACAAATCACAAATAAAAAGAAACAAACCTGCGCCAATGAACCTTCTGGTGCAGATACACCATAAAATTTAAGTAATACATCACAGTGCATACTCCGGTTTCTGAGTTTTGTTGAAACCCGCAAACGCTCAAATCTTCCGCACACAATCTCAATCCCATTCATATCAATGATCCTGGCAGCAGCCTGCTCAACAGATACAGTTAGCAAATACTTTATCATATTCTGCATGTGTCTGCCCAAGGGTGGTTTCAACTCCTCATCTGGCTGGAAACTGAGCAGATTGTTAATAGCTTGCCATTCTTCTTTTGTGAGACTTTCTTCCCCAAATGGTGCTCCCTCGGATACATCTAGCTCAGTTGCAGCATCTTCGTGCCTGAGACAGTGCATATAATTAATCAGTAGCGGTAGCTTCAATGAAGCAGGGAAACCAAAACTAAGAGATAATTGCACATAGCTATAGCTCATATAATAGATAAAGTGAAGTCCTCGAGCAAAACTATGCCTAACAAACTGATAATTCAGAAAAGGAAATCAGAACTTTTATCACCAACCAGCCAAGTGAGAGCCAACTCGTCTTTCTGTTCCTCCTTTGTTCAGCAGCTTCCTTCGTTTTTGCAGTCTCAACCTTGGCATGTGCAAGTAACCTAAAATTAGCCAAGACAAAGAAGAACGTCAAAACACAGGGAAAACTCACTCTGTTTCACATATAGACATTCAACAGCTTGATACTGAAGATCGAAAAACAGTACGGCATCTGTGACCGGTATGCTTAATGCAACTCTTGTACAGGGCGTAAGGCATTACAACTTGATGGTCAGAAATTTGGTCCAAAAATTATCTCAAAGATTGACCAAGAATCAATGTGAACCTATCAAGAAGTCCACCTAAACGGAGCTGGGTCACAAGAGTTGGCTACCTTTGAACAGTGAATCAAAGTTGACATCAGATGGTCAAAGGGAGGTCATACTTCAACAAAAATTTCCAGAAAGTAGAAAAAGGCTAACCAGCAATATCATGATCATCAGCAGTGAACCACACTTGGCACCCAGAAGGTCAAACAGATGTTACTATTCAACAAACAGTTCCGACTAGGAACAAGCCATCACTTCCACTGATATTAACCAGTGACGCCCTCGTATTCACCACCGTTCTTATTTGAGCACAAGGTTATGAAGAAACATATTCGCCACTAGTACATACTAAAACCCGCTGACATCAGTTAATAATAAATTTTCTTAAGGCACAGCTTTACTCCCTCTCAGTTCCAACTGGAGTATCATATAACTCCTAACTCATTCGCACATTATCTCAAATTGATAACTTGACTTAAATTGTTACAGGAGGATCATAAACTTTCTTCAGCAAACCAAGGAATATAGCATATATATAAGCAAGCCTCATACCTCCATAAGAGAATAACTTTGGGATCAAGATCTTTCTCAATTTCTCTTAGTTCTGTCATTTGGGTATCAGAAGATTTTTGCAGCGAACCAGCATACAGCTGTACATAACGATTACGACACTGACAGAGATGTCGGATTCGGTCCCATGACAGTCGATAGCTTAAGCAGAAAAAGGCATGAAATCAGTTGCATCCTCAAAATTATGCTAACCATGATAAAAGTTGAATAAGTAACAAACTGATAAACAAAGGGTGAAAATTGCAAGCTATTTTAGATATTATATGTATCTATCAACATAGAACCTTCCAAAACATCAAGCATGGTAATGTCCCGCATCACTGCGAGTTCATACCACATTTTCTTCAGCTGCAGATTAGCTTGAGCAGCATAGCGCCACCAAAGACAAGGATCTTGTGATACAGGCACAACAGGTCTCAGATGAGAAATTTCAACGTATATCTTGTATCTCGAAACAACCTCCAAAAGTTTTATCCAGTCATGATATTGTAGCTGTAAGAAAACACATTTGAATATTATTGAAGCATTATCCAGTTGACGATCAGCCAACAAAAAGAGTAAAAAAATAATAAAAAATTGTAAAATAAGGATTCAAAACATCAAAAAAGAAATTCTACTGTTTGATAGAATATAAAAGTGTAATAGAAAGTAAGCCATCGCAAATGTGAGACAATGAGAATATCAGATAGTTACACACCTCCATCATTGTTAAGGAGACATCTGTCAGTACAAGAGAAGCCTTCTCAAATGGAACCTCTGGATCAGTTCTTTCTGACTTCCCAAGACGATGATACTTAAGGACGCCATTAATAGGTGAAACCAAGTAGTTCCGGCCAATAGCCCATTTTGAGTCTGGTCCTCTACAGGCTGCTGGTTCGTTTATACCATCTTCAAATATCTTAGGGGTGGGGAGAGAGCAAATGAGATTATAATTAGTTTCACATCCAATTTAGCAGAAGCCAATATGAGGATTAAAACACATGAAAACCAACCTCTACCCACTCTTTTGGAGTAAGACTCTCCCATGGCTTGTTGATCTTCCAGGGAAGACTCTCAGAATTATGATACATAGCAAGCCTCGCAAGATGCAAGGACTGTTACATGAACAGATGGGTCAGAAGAAACTATGTACGTAGTTAATACATCACCCTTCAAAAGCTCCATCCTATAAACAAATGTCATAAAAATTAAATACTTAAATACCTATATTACAAGACTCAGCAACCATAAGTTAACCATCCAAAAACCCCTTTAGAAATCAAAAAGAACTTGGAAGCAGTAGCCACTCAATGCAGGCTATATACTAGTATACTCATAGTATTACAAGTGTGATCCAAGAATCAAAGTAGATATGGAGCTAAAGCATACTTTCTCAATGGGAAAGATAAATAAATGTCATTGTGGAACCTTAACTTTGACTAAGCAATGAATCTACGTTTGCATGAAAACCATCAAACTGCCTTTAACTCCTGAAGGTGCAAGCTACAAAAGATTTGCTACTTTAGAGTTTACATTCATCCCTTTTGTCACAAACAGCATGGAAGGGCTTTCTTCACGTATCTTTCAAGAACAGCACCATAAATAAAATAAAAACAAAAAGGATAAATAAAAAACAAGCTACCTTGCTCAATTTATCCAAAGCACCGCTTGCATCAAATGTTTCATTTCCCTCGTCATCTGTTGTGACAGCGGCAAGCTTGGCCAATGTGACCCCACACGAAAACGGATGCCCAGGATTGCTGCAAGTTAAAAAAGATGTGAACTGTGATAATGAGCTGGAGCAAGGAAATGAAAGGAACTACAACTGCATGGCAGACCCTGATAGAAAATAGAAAGTCTTCCCTAAGGAAACGAAAGAGAATGCACGGTTAGCTCATCCACCAATTACCTACGAGAGACCATAATTTTCCAGAAAAGGGAAAATAGAGCACACAAACAATGGCTGCCAACCTTGACGAGTCCTCATATCTGACATGTACATTGCTGATTGAAATCTTAAGATTTCCCATAACAGTCGACATAAGGGAACCTAGCCATGAGTCTCCAGGAAGAGGCTGCAAAAAGATTAGAGACCACCATAGATTGAGCTACCAAGCCACGCCCATTCTTCCATAGTTAAACAGAAAGGTCAAAGAAATTTTGTATCGTTCACCTCGGCCCAGAGTATAAGCACAAATCACACTGTATTTAATGTTGAACAAGAATGCATAAAACAATCAGGTAATAACAACACTTCACACCTAGAACCTGACATTGGTTGGCTACCTCCCACCCAAACCAAAAAAAGATTACACCTCTGGGAATTTATTCAAAAAAAACATTTAGAAGCAACTGCTACATTCCAGAACATATAATTACACTGGTTCAAGCCGGTGTGAGACGGAAGCACAGGACTCTGACAAAGTTGGAGACCATTGCAGAATAATCAATATAGGCGAATACTATAATTTCAAATGATGAGAAGCACTGAATATGAACTTAGAGCAAAGCAAAGGACATACACTTCCCTGCTTTGACTTGGATATTCCTTCAAGAATGGCTGATTCTGCATCCTGCAGAAGCAGAGTGGTTTATAAGCTCACATCGCCAGAAACAAAGTGCCAAGACTCTTTTCCCCAGTAAAATAAGCATGATAAATTAATAAACACGAAGAAAACAGAAAAGGACATTAATGCTAGTTACTTTTGTAACCTGGAAAGCTACACCTCATGACAACCAGATTTTCTGTTGAATAATTCATGCCTATCATTTTGTGTGCAAGACAGAAATACAGACACTCATTGACATTTCAAAAGCTACTGATTCAAGATGCATCAATTTCTCAAGAAGCTTTGTCAAAAAAAATCTCAAGAAGCAAAAATATGAATACTTATGTGTGTAAGTAAAGAGGCCAATGCAATGTTTGGATGAACTTGATGGATACAGTACACTATCTACTATCTAGATATGGTAAATGGTAGCCTAAATGTCAGTCACTTACGATCCTGTGTCTAAGTTCTTGGTGCAACAATAATAGTCATTGTCATCCATAAGATTCAAGCTTAAACTCCAAGGATCAGCCACTATAAATCAGGATAGAGAAAAACACAATAGAAAAATCTTACTCCAGACCCCACCTTACAAGATTATCAAATCAATTGGTGAAGACAACTCATGGAGAAAGGTAATGCAGCTACTTGAAACGAAAACAACGAGTATCAAGCATAATCACGCCTAATTTTCATCTGCATCTTTCTTTACACAGAATGATCAACTTAATCATTCTCTTTTCCTTTCTTTTGATAGGGATCACATTAATCATTTGATAAAACAAAAACAAAAAAATAAATTAAATACAGACAAGATATTCACCTCAATCTGTTGAAGTTTTGCTTCAAAGAGTTTTATCCTGTCCTCCTCCTTCAATAAATAGTAATGCAGACTCAGAGAGGGAGAGAGAGAGAGAGAGAGAGAGAAATAATATTTATTTGAAAGTCCGTAATCATTAATCATCTACACAGAATCCAACCTTAAGAGTTCGGTCATCGGATGCTGGATGAGCAAGAATAAAGACTTGATCAATGAGAACAATAACAGGTTCTTTGCCTAAACTTTTCCAGGGAACCTGCAGTATTAAAGGATAATATCAAAAACCGAAGAAGCAAACTAGATCATACAAGAATCCTGCTCGAAAGAAGGAAAATAAATTGGGCCAGGCCATATTATCCCCACAAATCTTCAATGTATATAGCTGGCCATAGCTTATTTGTTTATTGGGAAGCAAATTAAAGAACTATATTACACGCAAAACATAAACTAAAAACCACAATCTCAGTGAACAGGAATCCATCCGCCACAACTGAACTACAGAATCGACTTCTTGATCACCATGATCGAAGTCATGCTTTCATGGTCATCCCCAGTTAGAAATGAGAGCAAGCAGCTTGTCAGTTTCACAAAAAAATCACCACATTTAACGTAACACCAAACAGACGAGGAGGGGGACGGGGAATGAGAGCCATGTTATGGAACCCCACACTAGAAATGCCTTACAGCACAAAATTGGATGAATAAAAAGAAACTTAAAGAAGCAGCAACATTAGCTTTGTATGTTGAAACATGTTAGATACCTTTAATGTTATGGTACCAACAAAACCAGCTTTCACAGTAACAGGAAGTTTGAGTGAGTTTAGCGCCTCAGCCTTCAGTTTCAAGTCCTTGAGGACCACATCCCCTGCAATAATAACCGCTAGACCGAAGTAAGGAAGACTACATCAGGGAAGTCTGGTGGAAGCTAAGGAATGAATTCCAACAATCCATTCTACTGCCTCCCAAATAGCAACCAGAATCAAATAGATGAGTAACGAACCCTTCCAAACACTGATTCGTAAAGCCTCTGATGATAGTCCATGAACATACTCCCCCAAATAACTCCGGAGCAAATGGAGGACCTACAATGCATAACATTTCAGACAACATAGTAAAATACACCAAACAACGCCCCCATAGACACTGCTTCCAAATTATCGAGCAAGTATTCTCCTATATTCATCAAAATCTCAAAATCCTTCTGCACAACTTGCACCGAACTGATACCATTTCAAATCTCCTGATCCCTAGAACCTAAGACGTAAGCAAAGCGGTGGCTACATTTCAAATGTTCTCTGACTAACCATGCAGACAGCCATGTCAAGGCCGAGTTCCTAACTATCCTATCCCCCACCCGGGAAGGGTAATCACGCCAAACGAAACGAGCAATTACGCAGGAAGAGCATGAATTCGTAATCCAATCCGCACTTACGTGAGCCTCGAACATGGCGATCGATCCACCCCGCCGCTGCTCGTCAACAAAATGAGGATGATCGACACGTACGAACCGCCACTGAACCCCGCTCCCGGGTACTCCTTAGAGGTTGGCTTTCGGAGAAGACGCAGAAAAGGAAGTCCCGCGCATTGTTTGATCTGGAACCGGTGGAGAAGTAGAAAGGAAGGAAGAGATGAAGTTGGAAGGAGCAACAAGAGCGGACGGTTTTCTGGAGAGGTGACTGAAAGCAAATGATAGAGAGACATAACTGTAGGGAGCAAGGTTGAAAAACCGGTTTATGCCGGTGTGTCGGTTTTGAAAGTGGAATGGTCCGACCGTGGTACAACCAGTATTCACGCCGGTTGTGCCGGTTTTAATAAAATATATGAGACAAATGGAAATCCTCAATTCCAAATAAATTAGTCATCAAAAAGCAATTAGAAAAATTATTTCACACAAAATAATTTATAGCTAAGAATTGGTAACTAATACAGATGCTTAAAAATAAAAGTATATCAAATGAATATTATTAATGTTTATAATGATTTGTGTAAAATTTAGTGTTAGATATATAATATATAAGGTTAATATATACAACAAAGTTGCTTGTAGCCTACTGGTGTATAAGGGAGTCTAAAATGAACATGAGGTATTTGGTTCAAATCCTAAGGAGGGTGATTATTTTTGGATAAAATATGTGTAACATTGAATTCCGGTTTCTGGTCTAATCGGCCGGAATTTCCGGAATTGACCGAGTCTGATCGGCATTGACCGGATTTGACCACAGTTAAATACCGGCCTCTTTCCAGCCGGTTTGATGACCGGTACCGGTTGTACCCGATTGAACCGGCCGGCATGAGACCGATTTGGCAACCATGGTAGAGCAATAAGTTCGGTTGGGTCGGGTTTTGCCAAACCTAAATCCAAATCCATTGGTTTATTCGTGAAAAAAAATTGGGGTAAAATCTACTGGGTCAAACTCAACCCAATCCGTTGGGTATCTGCGGGTTCATGGGTACCCACGGGTTTTTGTTGTAAAAAATTTACAATAACAAGTTCCTATCAAAATTAAAGTTAAATCTCAATCTTTCAATACAAATTATCCGGGTAAATGACACATTTGGTCACTGAGATTACTAAATTGTGTCATGTATAGTCACTAGAAAAAATTAATATCAATTTTGGTCACTCGAATTACCGAAACTGGTCAAATTTAGTCACTCTCCCGTCAGTTTCCGTCCAACTCCATTAATGTAGTTCGACGGAAACTTTTGGGAGAGTGACTAAATGTGACATGTTTCAGTAATCCGAGTGACTAAATGTGACATTTTTCAATAATTCGAGTGATCGGAGTTGGACAGAGGCTACAGAAGAGTGACCAAATGTGACCTTTGTCAGTAATTCGAGTGACCAAAATTGATATTAAATTTTTCTAGTGACCAAATATGGCACGATTTAGTAATCTCAGTGACCAAATGTGTCATTTACCCCAAATTATCCATATATAAAACATCATTCTAGAAAATTCAAGCAAATCACAAATTATTATTAACTATACAAATTGTTCAACACCAATCTAGAAAACTCAAGAAAATTGAAGCAAATCTCAAATTATCCATAAATAACATGATTAATTGAAAACTTCTTCCTTTCAATTAAGTTTCTTTACTCTCCACTCAATAAAATCAACTTCATTCTACACAATTAGAAAGAAAAAATTAGACATTTCTACACAAACATAAATAAAATTAGTTGTTTAGAATATTAAATATATCGAGAAAATTAATTATATGGATGTGGGTAGATACCCATGGAGCGGGTTTACCTAAACTCAAATCCAACCCAGCGAATAATAAACGAGTTTAAACTCAAACTCGACCCAAAACCCATCAACACGAATTTTATTTGCGTTGACCAGAGTAGGTACCCGTAGGTTCGGATTTTGTTGTCATTCCTAATAACGGACTCATCCTCAATTGTCAATTCCTCATCAGTGATCTCGGTTCAATTTGTTGAGAAGCCCAACAGCAGTTGTGTGCCCTGCTCTAACAGTGGGCCTTAACAAAAGTATGAAGCCCATAAACACGGACAGTTTGCCTCCAACAAAGAGCAGGCCGAAGCGCGCCGGCCATCCCCGTGTCCGAGATTCCCTTCTGCCGCCGACGGTGAGCTTAGCGATTTACAAACACTTGCAGAGACCAGACCAGTCACCGAGCTCTGAATCTGTAGTCGGCGATCGCAGTAACTCCTTGGCGCTGAAGACTGCGTTTCAGGTACGTTCTTCCTTAGCCTGAGAGCTATATCAATCGATCTGCCTCCTCCTTTACAGTTTTCCTCCAGCTATCCGATTCTAGAAGAGGAAGACAAAATCCAGGAACCCTAACAAACAACTGTTGGTAATTTCGATCCTTAGCAGATTCTAAGTATACAATGCCGTCTCTACAAACTGCATTGCCACCTGAACTCGCCAACAACGTTCTTAGAGTTGAGTATAATCATTTCACTTTCCGTTTTTAGTTTTTTTTAGTGCATTGCGCCTTCAAAGTTCCAGACTTGGGGGTTATGGTTTCGTTCTCATTACCGGCTAGGAAAAATTGGAGCTGTGTGATAGTGACGATTGAAATGGTTGTGTTGCAGCTTTATAAGGAATGTCTTCGAAGAGCTAAGTACGTTGGTCATCAGGTAAACAGAAAAAGCCCCATTCATTTTTTTGGTTCTTGTTTCCTGCTGCTATGATCATTGCAAAGAATTCACATGTGGTAGAATCTGGTGTGTGATTGAATTGCAGCAACACAATACTGCGTTGTTGGTTGAAATGGTGAGGCAGCAGTTTAAAAAGCACAAGCACGAGATCGACCCTGACAAAATCCAGAAGTTGAAGGACGAGTGAGTCTACTTAAATCGATAAATGTTACTGTTCTATGTTTCTGTATCCCTCTCTCTATGAGAATTTCATAGAGATGAATCCGTCGAATGATTCTTCCCTGCTATTTTTGTTTTGGATGGATGGCAGCGCGGCAAGAGGGCTTATAAACCACATGCTATATGAATCTGAGAAGATGTCTGGACGTAAGTTCAGCAAGAGTGCTTAGTCTACCAGGTTCTTGTTTTCTGCCGAGCAAAGTTACTGTCTTTTTGGTATAGAAGAACAGATTGAATGACAGAAAGAGTTTTCCTTTCTGCGTTCTTGTTGCTTCAGGAAGCTTGCTAGAAGAGTAGTGTTTGAATGGCTTTCTCTTCTTCCACCATTTGTCTATCTGCTAGCTGTTTTTAGATGCAAGCTTATTCTGAAATAAAATAGCTATGGGAATCAAGTTTGTTAAGAAAGATCAATCAATTTTGAAGTGCTTTGTATCATTTTCTTCTGTCGATTGTCGTCCTTTGTTCCCCTTTGTGGAGAGGTGGGCGTATTAAGTGATGTAGAGCTTGTCCTGTTCTGTGGAAGCTTAGTATAGTTTGTAGACAACTGTATCCTGCTAAGAATAGCTTGGAACCACCAACTCTTAGAAGGTCTATTAGGATTCTCAACTTTGAAATACATAATTTCTTACCTTGCTCAAATACATCTCCCGTTGGAAATACTGGTACTTCGGGAAGATTTGTGCAAGAAACAGTTTATTTTCTGAAATGCATGCATTCTCGGGATACGTTAGTTTGAATCCCCAGTTGCAAACGCGATCCGTATTGTCTGCAACTGACAAGAAAGAGTTGTGTATAAGTTGACAAAAATGCTTCCAGTAGCTATGTCCGCTTCTCTTCAACTTTGAGAATGTAGTTACGTTAACAAATTCGATTTCTGGAGCTACAATTCAATGCAAAGGGTGTAAACTTGACACTTGATAGTTGACCAAGTGAAATCCTATTAATCGTGGATGACAGAATTTGTGTCCATTAGAGAAGAGATAGTCTAACAAATAACCCAAAGATTAAACAACGAATGAGGAGCATTTTACATTTTGCTTATGCTCCTTTACAAAATTCTTCAGCACCATCACTAATCTATGTACTCAGCTTTTCTGTTTTTCGTCAGTAGGAAGTGAATCCTTTACACCTTCATTTCTACCCGGTTTTCCCCAAATGAGAAGGTTTTGAAGTAAAAGGTCCTTTACTTGCTTGGCGAGGGCTCAGATCCCCTCTGAAACGAGTTACATTTCCTCCCCTGTCTGCAACGAGAGGACTCTCAACGGTCCTCAACTCTTCCGACGCCAATATAGGTCCACTGCACGCTCGTTTAATCTCCCCTCTACTCCTAGTAAATATCCCATCTAACATCTCTCCATCGTCAGCAAAGGAAGCTCCCCTGCTCAACATCTCTATGTCCTGTTAGGAAAAATCAATAGCAACACATTAAGGAGCCACTTGAGAATCAAAAAGAAAATATTTGTAAGTTTTTTTTGTTATTACAGTGGTTGAGTTGAATGGCATTGCTGGAATCTCTTCATACTCCGCAGCATCCAGATCTTGAAGGTGTGCTCCTTTGAAGAACTGGGGCAGCATGTATTGCCTCACAGGGACCAGAAGCATGATCATCAGAGGGAAGAGCACTCCAGCTATCGGGATCCATGTGATACCAAAGCACACCAGCAAGTAACCAGCTTGGAACAATGTGAACATTGCGATGGTCTTGAAAGGAACAGTTTCCAGGAATGTGGCATGGTAATCTTCCAGCACTCTGAAACACAGGAGTTAGATGTATAAGGAAGAGGAATAAGCAAGAGGAGAGAGAGTTTATGAGATGGATTACTTGTATCTCCTGCTAGGAGCAGTGAAGAGGAGCAAGATCCTTTCCCAGAACTGGTTCCCTGGCAAGCTTTCGATGGCCATGAATGCAAAGTAGCCCCAAAGAACTGAAGTCGGGATCTTTTTAATCAAAGGCATGGCACCAATGCATAATCCCACCATTACAGCCTGAAGCAAGTTGCTTAGCCGTTGTTCTTTCACCTCGACGGGTAAGAGGTTGTCAATCTCCTTCTCAATGTCGAATACTGTAGTGTCAACTGGGGCATTGAAGCTTCCCAGTCTTGCAGCCATCTGGAGCGGCGAGTCTTTCAGTTCCTTCAGACCCTGCTTGGGGAAAACAAATCAAGTTTACAGCAGATGTTGGAACCAAACTTTTCTAACTCTTTGATGCAAATGAGGACACACATACAGGAGCAGAAGATCCCGGAAGGTTCGGCGGGCTTTGAGCCTGTTGATAGGCCTCTTTCATGCTTGCATAAACTTGCCCCAAGCTTGCATTCTCACTCATGCGCTTGCGTGCTGCGGCCAAGAGTTTTCTACGAAGCAACTGTACCAAAAGGGTGATGCACTGATGTCAAATGGTGTTCAAGCAACATTTTTAGTAATTTACATATACAGTCACTGAAGTATGGAGTCTCTGGACATTTATTAAGAGTCGTCAGGGATGGATGAAAACTATTGAAGAGATGTAATGTGCATACCTGATGTTTTAAAGTAGCCAGAGTCCTGGTGTGCATTGGAGATTGAGGGATGACTCCATTCGCTGGAGGGATTCCGAGGAGACCACACAAGATGACCTGCCATTGTCAAATTTTCAGTGTGGATAACTAACACAGCATCTAAAGTGACGAGGTGAACCATTTTCTGCTGAAAATATACCATGAAACCAAGAAGAAGCAAGTCATAGTGGAAAGAGGGTGGTTTCCTCAAGTTGAACTCTTTCTGCTGAGCTAGCTGAGATGCCACACTATGATCAAAGTAATATAGCACCGCTATCATTGTTGCTGGGATGAAAGCTCCGACTATGTACAAAACCGGGACATCGAGCATTTCCTGTCAAATATTATCACGTAAGCAATCAGTGAATCATCCACTTGAGAAAGAAGATTTCTTGAACAAAAGTTCGGATGTAGTATAACTATTTGTTGGTAATACCTTTATCACAGTCCAGTTCTTGTAGGCACCAGCTGACCACGGGTTTGGACTGAAGAGGCGTCTTGGGATACCTGCCGGAGCAGTTCCAGTTGGTATGTAGGAAAGTCCAGTCCATACCAAGACCATTAATGGTACACCATAATCTGCTAGGAAGCCCCTCACCCAGCCTATGGTTCAAGACAACTTTAGATCTGGGATGTGCAGAGACAGGAGTTGTTGATATCATGGACAAGGTTTCAATTGGATATATACCTGAACCATATCGCCAAGACCTTGCTTTTCTGCTTTTCAAGGCAGTTAGCAGAAGGCCAAATGAAAGGACCAGGGCAAACATTCCATTTGCAAATCTCCATGATAGTTGAAACTCGACTGCATTCGGGTCCTCTCTTTCCGGTATCCGAAACTCATCAATGAGTCCCTGCCACATCCAGCCAAGGTTGATGATAAGGTTCTCGAACAAAGCTATACATATAGGGGGAGAGGGAGAGGGAGAGGGAGAGGGAGAGAGAAAAGTAACCCGAGTTTTGGTTTCTTACTTTGATAGCCTGCTGCATGAAAAGCATGGCAATGAGAAGACCAAACAACTCCCCAGCAAGACGGGTAAACCTGTTGATAATGGAGCATGCTCCTAACACAGAGAGAAGGAAGAGCAAGAGAGCAGTCCATACGCACACCCTGCCCCATCCAAAAGTCATCAATTGCTTTTAGTAAACCCAAAAGATAGGAGCAACATGGTAAAAAGAGACAAGTAACTAACTACAAGCGAATACCAGCTGGTCCAAGCTAGGAAGAGCTTTGATCCCAATTCATGTCTGCTGTTGGCGAAATTGAACATGAAAGTGTACATGATCACAGTAGGCTCTGCTACTCCAAGGATCAACAATGGCTGACCTCCTATGATGGAGTGAATGATTCCACACACTGCAGTGGAAGCCAATGTCTGAACTGCCGTGAGAGCCCCATCTGTCAACAGGAAGAAAGGAGGGTAACAAGGCTTTAAAGTTGTCATCTTTTCCTCCATTTTTCTAGCGTAAGAACGTTGAAAACAGGATGAGATTGAAGGGTAAGCGACCCAGTAAAGTACCTGTCTCCCTTTCCAATTGTTCTCCAAAGGAAATCACTGGGATTGCAGAGGCGAAGAATATGTAGGTAGTTGGTGCCAAAATACTGGAACAAAAAATCACAGACATTCAACACAAATCCACCACATTTCAACAGAAAATGAAATGCACCTGGGCAAAAAGAGTTTGATCCCAATGGTGTATACCTTAGCCCAGCGCTGAAACCACCCGTCCAATCCTTCTTGTAGAAAGCCAATCTTCCCTGGAGGTCGTTCTTGATCCCGCGGAATGGCACAAAGCTTTCCTCCATAACCGCCACTAATTAGTGAGTCGACCCAGAAACCAAAACTGGGTGAAATGAAATGGGTGTCTTGCCCAGTTCAGTTCAGAGCGGCAGTATGGCTGAAGAAGCAGAAGACACTGCTGGCATTGGATGAACAAGCAAAGCTAGATGACAAGGAAAAGGATGAATCAGTAAGAAAGGGAGAGGAAAACAGAGCACATCAATGCTTGAGAAACCAAAATTAACCATATACCCTTACAGAGAGAGCAAAGGGGAGATCTAGAGAAAGCAGGCACGAGAACAGAAGGATGAATGCTGCAATGGAAATGGTGCGGTGGGAAAGGAGGAAGGAAGCAACAATGCAACTTCGTCCTTGCTCTTCCTTCTTGTATAGTATGTACACCTTTTTCTCACTGGCTGGCTATGGTGGTGTTGGTGGGTGCGTGAAATCTGGTAGGTACATTCTCTCTCTTGGATTTGCTGCTTATTATTATTACAGTAGTAGAGAGAGAGAGACGCACCACGACCACACGACAAAACCAGACAGTCCGTCGTGCATGAGACAAAGACCTGGGGAAGGAAGGAGGGAGAGAGGGGCACCGCAATGACTGTGAAAACCGCAGTCCTGAATTAATTAATTAGTTAATTGATAACAAATCTAATTCTCTAAAGTAGAGAGGAGTCAGGAATTCTGGTCTGATTGTCCTCCTTAATATTAATAATAATAATAATAATAATAATAATAATAATTTAACGATTTGTTATGTTAATTAATCTAAATTTCTCATTCCTTGACAAGTGCTTCTGTTTGTAGGACGATTCTCATAATCTCATTAGGACGAACATATATCATTTGTTAAAAGAACGTGACATACGCCAGACTGCCCGGTGCCGTTTGTCCCTTTCATTAGTTAGTTCCAAGACTAATAACACTACTCTCCTACTACCACTTCCCATCAAATGTTTCCTTAATGTGGAATTTTAATTTGGGGAGTTTATGTGGAATTGCAAGATGGCCTTTCCTTCCTCTTAAATTCCATACAGAAATGTGTCACAAAAATACCTCTTGGAAATTAAGTGGAGAAATTGAAGGGACTTATTGTTGCTCCATCTATTATCTTTGGTAAAATCTACACATAATATAATAGTACGAAGGAAAAAAAGCATTCCTCCATTTCAAATTCCCTGCTTCAGGAGCGTTTGTAGAAAGGGTAGAATAGAGAGTGATAATTTTTTTCTCTTTCCTCTGTGGAACGGGTCAACTTACCGTACACGTGCGGACTTAAATGGACCCAGGAATTGTTGTGCCCACAAAAACAGAACAGGTTTCTTTAAGTCCTTTTATATCTCGGTGTTGGTAAGATATATATGAAAGGGAAAAAACAATACTCCTTTTTTATTGCTAAAATGAAAATGATTTAACAATAAACTAATGCATGGATTCTAATGGGCTAACCGCTAACCATAAAATAAAATAGTTGAATGGATCTGACCTATACGGGATTTGGCCATCAAGTAAAACATATGAACATCATGGGTTTGTCATCCTAAAACAGACTATTTTCTCTAGCATAACATATATTATGCTATTATTTTATATCTTAGTGGCTAAAATATAATATATTTTAAAGTTTTTAAATGGTTCAACCTCGACCAACCCAATTAGTCCAATTTTTATCATTTCAAATATATATTATGTAATTATTTGATATAATAATGATTAAATTATAGTGTATTTTATGGGAAATCGTTTGGTATTTGTTAGTAAAAAACTAAACAAAAAGATCTATTTGGTTATTTTTAACATTAAAACTATCCTAAACATTTTCAGTTTCCTTTGAATTTCTATGGTTTTGTTCCCGAAGCAGTGATGTGTAAATGGCGAATTGCAGTCATCTCTTTTCTTTCACTATTTTTTTTTTTTCAAATAGAAAGTTTGAAAGTAAAGAATAATTTGAGCTTGGCATGAGTCGGTCAAACATGATGAATTTCAAGTTTTGGCACATTTTGATCAAGCCTAATTTATAATCACATGGTTCCCTGACACCAGATAAAAATCTCAATCAGAACCAGTTCGGCAGCTGAGTCTGTTTTTACCACCATTTTCTAGGGATACGGGAATGGCGGTTCCTATCCCAAATCATGTTGTTAGTTCTTGACTTCTTTAGATTTTATCATGGCCTGGTAAAAACCAGAAAGCACAATGACGACAAGATGAAAGTTCTTAAAGAAAATTAAAAGCTAGCAACGATTGTGAGATGCTCATTTCCTGAAGACCGGCGGATAGTTAATTTTTTATTCGGTTTTCTGGAATTCGGTTTCTATAAAACTTACTCCACCTCATCATATTACCAGAAATAATACTGTTTCACAAGGTAACACTAACAGGTACTCAAACTTGGTTCATAAGGCTGATTTTTTATTCATTGCATCATTCATGTCTCTTTCCTGTTAAATTTCACTATCTTTATCACGTGTTTCCAAAAAAAACTATACAACAATAAGGGCTCAAGATAGGGTGCATAGCCCATGGTTATGCACCCTATCAATAACCAAATCTGGACCCTTCATTTTGAAAATCCAGATCTAAGGATGGAGAATTAAAGGCTATTTTTATTTTCACTAGCTTTCTTAATTGACTCATATCTTTTTCGTTTTAACTCGGATTTTAATTTTTTTTGCACAGTTAGAACGAGTCCACCGTGCTCTACAAAATGAAATCAATTTTCAATATTTTTTGAGGAAAAAAAATTATGGCCTCTCGGTACCAATTGCATACCATATGGTATCTTCTTCGTTTTTAATTCGTTTTTGAAAAGGTTTGCACAGCAGGGACGAGTTCATCATGATCTACTGGATCTACAAATTTCTGGGTGAACAAATTACAAGACCAAAAAATACCACACAATACCATATAATACCACCCTGGTACGGGGTGGTATTGTATGGTATCTTCTTCGTTTTTAATTCGTTTTTGAAAACGTTTGCACAGAAGGGACGAGTTCATCATGATCTATTGGATCTACAAATTTCTGGGTGAACAAATTACAGGACCAAAAAATACCACACAATACCATACAATACCACCCTGGTACGGGGTGGTATTGTGTGGTATACAATGTTAAAAGTCGTAAATTACAATTAATATACTTCAACTATCATGTATTCAACCATCCTACAGTATTGGTTTGTTCATACCACCATGACACGTTTTTCAAAACATAGGTATGCTTTTATTTCAATACCAGTCAATACCATATGGTATAGGCTGGTAAAAAATGGCTCAATTTTTTTTGTTCGAAAAATATATTAAAGTGGATATCATTTTGAAGAGCACAATTAATCTGATCTAACTGTGCAAAAAAAAATTAAATTTCGACTTAAAATGAGCGAGAAATCGTCCGTCAAAGATTAAAGAGGGAAAAATTAAAGGCTTTTTATGAGAGAGAGGATGCTGATGTCATGGTGATGTGGACGGGTTACTCATGGTTACTCACCATAAAGTTACTCACCTGATCCATTCCCAACAATAAGCTATACACCCCATTATATTCTCAAATTTCATACCTCACTTTTCTCCGGCTAACTGGCCGTGGCCCACGCTAATAGACTATAATGTTAGAAAAATTATGAACCAAATTGGATCACAGTTTGATTCGAACAGTAGAGTATTAAGAATGTTTTGGCTTTTTGGTCTGATTTATGTTCTGTATTATGAGATTTCCTGATCTCTTAGTATGATATAGTCTAGATCGCGATCTATCGGACCAGACATTGGAACAAACTCACTCCTCATTTCGTGTAACAGCCCACTCAACCAAAGCAGTCAAAATCAGGATTTTACGTAAAATCGAAAAGTGGGGTAAAATAGGAATCGTAAAATCGTAGGATTTTAAGTATCATATAAAACATAATATATAATAATATTGATAAGGTAAATCATTAATAACACAGAGACACATACCATTTAAAATGATAATTCTCAAGATTTTTTTTTACAGAAGATAATTCTCAAGATTAATGTTCCAAAATCACTACTCTTTAATTTTTATTTAATCCATAACTCAAAATAATTTATAAGGTACAGATCTCACTGGAGTTTGGCTCTGGTTTTCATGTTGTGTCTAGGTAGTTTACCTCAAAGTAATATTCCGACATCGTTTACTAAGTATGATTTAAAACTAAAAATAATTGAACTCCAATAAAACAAGTAATGATAGTGGCTTGATACAAATATATTCATTAATAAATTATTTAATTAGTTAATAATGATGTTAATTCTTACGTACTTCCAATATTAGGACAATTGTTTTACCAATAAGTTAAATGGGGTGAAAGGAAAGGGATTGATCGAGCACTAATTTGGTTATTTTTACTATTTTTAAATATTTTTTTAATAGAAAAAATATTTGAGAAAATTCCCGTCATTGCCCTTTCCATCGAAACAGTATGCTTCTTTTAAATTGGTTCAAACCACCTATTTTGTTCTCATACGATCAAAATCCCAATTTTTGTGTGATTTTACGATTTTAACGAATTTAATCCCGATTTTAAATAATTTTAAGATTTATCAATTTTATAGTAAAATCAGTATCGGAATCCCTAAGTAAAATCCCAAAATCCTACAATTTACGATCAAAATCCAAATTTTAACTGCATTGCACTCAACTACTCTCTCTACTCCCCAAAAGGACTTGAGTCTCAACCGTAAATTTTCAAATCTCATCCCCTCCTTCATTCACAATCACACTCCGCCAAAAGGCAGAGACGATTATATTTTCATACCAAATTATGTTAATGTTTTATGAAGTTGTGGTGAAAGTTTAGTTGCTTTGATTTGTGTCTTTGTCATTTGTTTGAATTGAGGATATCAAAACTATGCATGTGTTGGAATTTATAATTTAAGGCAAAGAACAGTTTTTTTCCAGAGTACTTGTTTGATATGTGTTACAACATCTTAATCGAGATAGTAAACTGTTTTGTTCTAACATTTTCTCATGATTTGTATTATCAACTTGTATTATTAGTTTATTACCAAAGTAGTCAACCCGTGGGTTGAAACGGATGGATCCTGACCCTGTGAGAAAAATGGGCACCACACATCCGAGGGTCAACCCCAGTAAGATTCTCGGGTTGGAGGTCACACAACATCATTTTCCTTTGTTTTGCGAAATGCACCTCTTTTCGGGGGGTCCCTTCGCTTATCGCTATCTTTGGAGTTCTAAATTGAACATTTCAATAATGGTGTTATTTGAGTGTATTTAAATTTTTACTATATGTTGGATCTAAGTACGAACTATTAGTTTGATATAATGTCATATACTTATATGTTATTACCCTTATGCAAGATGAGATTTGATATAATATACAAATCTATGAACTATATAATGACTTTTTCATATATTTTGGCTAAACCGAGCTTAATTCCTCTGAACCTGCCCGAACGGGCCAACAAGCTAAACCAGATTGACAACCTTATTTATTA